TGTGTGTGTGTGTGTGTGCAAATATGTGGATGGTTTTTTGTGGTACATGTAATCGCTTGAGATTTTGTTTACACAATTATCTTGGAGGCGTTGTAATAGCTTCATGAAATTAACATGAAGAATGATGAAGTGTGTATATATATATATTTTGTGCATATGCATATACAAATAATTTTACAAGGGGGCTTCAAAAATTAGTGGAAACGTTCTTCACATATATGGTTCCATGGTATTGTGTTCATCATGTTCGACTATCAACTATCTTTTCCTAAATTAGGCCATCACCTTTAATAGAAATACTGGGCTCTCCTTTCCTGCTCCTACCCATTCACTCAGCATAGTTAGTTAGATTTTTCAAAGTAATTTAAGATATGGCATTAAACACAATTCTTATTTTGTTTAACTTTTTATTGTGAGTTAGTTGTAGATTGACAGCACAGATCATCAGTTTTACATTGACTAGTTCATACACAATTTGTTTCCACTCCGCCATTGCTATCCCCTCAATGGACCATCGCTTATTTTGCTTTCTCTTTGTACTTTTTGTTTCCGTTTCGTGTTCTTTCCTAACCATTTGAGCATTGTCCTGGGTAAAGGCTGCCATTTTGATCTTAAATAGTTGATTATTCTAACATAGGGCTGGGTTTAGTTCCAGACCTGAAGGTTGACTGAAGACCATAGTCTTAGGAGTTCCACCTGTCCCTTTCTGACCAGTACGCTTGGTCTCTTTTTATTATTTTGATTTTTTTCCTACATTTTTTTCTCTCACTCTCTATCCTTTTCAGAGAAGTGGTGGTCTAGTGTTTATAGAAACTGATGATAAGAAAGCTCTAAAATAGATGTGGTGGTGATTGTACAACTCCACTTGATATGACTGAACTGTTCAATTTTATGATATGTGAATTATGTACCAATAAAACTGTTGGGGAAAAATGTTAAAAGAATCATTTCTCATTATACACAATACTTTCTTCACAAAACATACAACAAATAAACCTGTAAACTTATACTCTGATATTACGTATACTTTGATATATACTACTTGTACACTGATGTAATAGATTTAATATTCACTCAAAAAAATGTAATAAATAGTAGTTTACATAGTCAAGATTTTGAATGGAGTGTTTTCAGGCTGGATAAGTGGGATTGCTTCAGTTAGCTTAGTGAATGAGCCTAGCAGCATACTCAGCATTTGTTTCCATGGAAACTTTGTCTCATAATTCATCATCTTACTTATCCTTAAATATTTCTGGAGGGGTAAATCAGTGTAATCCCTATTTGATAAGAGACCAAATTAGGTAGTTTAATAGTCATGTCAAATATGAGAATTAATTACTATTTGTTAAGTACTTAGATCAATTTATGGACATACAGGAAATACCATATAAATGTTTGTGGGAAAGGTAAATAAAACTTGCTAAAGTGTTAGAATGTATTTTATGGATGCGTGTGCTCAATTCTAGTTTCTCAAAATATCTGTTAAGCCAACCTTATGTTTATTTTAAATATTAAATATTTTACAAATTTAATTACTAAATTACTAGACTTAAGTAAATCTGCTTCAGTAAGTCCTTGTTTCCTTGTAGCAAATTATAGTTTTTGTCTTTAAAAACTGAATAGTTTTTAAAAACAGTTCCATGTTTTAATTGGGCATTGTCTTATTAATGCTGGTTTTAAAAGAGGTATTTAATTGGGATCTTATATACAGCTACACATCAAAGGGTGATTTAATCATGCATGCCACTTTGTATGATCCCATCATTGTCTAAGCCCCATGTTTCTTATATGATTGTAGTACTGCTGAAGCTGTACTACAGGAAATGGACAACATTAATATCAGACGGAATCGTCGATCTGGAGAAGTAGAACGACTTCGTATGTGGACGGACACAGAATTTGTGAGTGTATTAACTGTAACAACCTTTACAAAGCAGTAGTTGTATCTTATACAGCTTTTCCCTCATTTTCAATTTAGTTTGGGGTTTTATTACTTGCCTTATTCTTATCCATATCTCCTTTGCCAAACCTACCCTTTTACTCAATATTGCCATCTAGTCGATGCCGACTCATAGTGACTCTACATGAATGATCTTATATTTCCTACTCGGAGTCTGTTACTCATCTGATTAAAATCTTTGATTTTTTTAAATGTTTTGGTTCCTAATCAATAAAAATAAATGATGATCTTCGTAATCTGTCTTCATTTTGTCTTTCACCATTGCCCAAGTGAAGCAAATCCTGCCTGCCCAGTACCTTTTACTTCAGTTTTTATTTCTAGATAGTGACTGATGTAACTCTTCCATTATTTCAAGGTTCATTTGAGATGCTATCTCAACAAGAAGAGCACCACCATCTTTGTGCATTTTGAGCATTTTATGCCTTTCTTTTTGTTAGTTTGTTTTACCTTTTGTTATAGTTTCCTCGGACTTGTTTTATTGCCTCCTAGTAGTCTGTGATTTACTTGCAGGGGAGAGTGAGTTTATGGTATTGAATATTTTAAAACGTGCATTTTCCCTTTGTGTGTCCTTTAGCTTTTTATTGTGAGTTAGGTGATGATTTACAGGGTAAAAACTTTTTTCTAGTCAACAATTGATAAAGATTTTGTTTCACGTCATGTATTGCAATCCTTCAATATTTCTTAAGATTTGTTTTCTTTTTCTTTTTATAAATAATTTATTTTTATATTTTATTAGGCGCTCTTACAGCTCTTATCACAATCTATACATCCATTCATTGTGTCAAGCACATATTTTTTTCACATTTGTACATATGTTGACACCATTTTCAAAATGTTTTCTTTCTACTTGAGCCCTTGGTATCAGCTCATTTCCACCCCGCCCCACACCAAGATCCCTTGATAATTTATAAATTATTTTTTTCATGTCTTACACTAACCACTGTCTCTCTTCACCCACTTTTCTGTTGTCCGTCCCCCTGGGAGGGGGTTATATGTCAATCCTTGTGATCGTTTCCTCTTTTGTCTTCCCTACCTTCCCCTTCCCCTCTTGATACCGCAACTCTCATTATTGGTCCTGATGGGTATATCTGTCCTGGATTCACTGTGTTGCAAGCTCTTGTCTGTACCAGTGTACATGCTCTGACTTAGCTGGATTTGTAAGGTAGAATTGGGGTCATGGCACTGGGGTGGGGGAAGCATTAAAGAACCAGAGGAAAGTTGTGTTTCCTCGGTGCTATACTGCACCCTGACAGGCTTGTCTCTTCCTTGTGGCCCTTCTGTATGGGGATGTCCAATTGTGTACAGATGGGCTTTGGGTTTCCACTCTGCCCTCCCCCTCATTCACATTGAGATGATTCCTTGTTTTGGGTCTTTGATGCCTGATATCTGATCATTTTGACACTTCATGATCACACAGGCTGGTGAGCTTCTTCCATGTGGGCTTGGCAAAAGAAACAAAAAACAAAATAACAACCATAACAATAGCAAAAACAACAACAAAAAAAATGAAAAGCCTTTAAATAGTTCCAGGTCTGTTCATTTACGTTTATGAATGATTCCCAGCCAAGTTAGATGGGGTGCCACACTCTGACCCCAAAGCCTATTTTTGGTATTACCTGGGGACTTCATTGCTCTGTTCCCCTGCTGTTCTGTTGCATGCCCTTAGTGTTTCCCCACCATCGGGCACAATTCCCACACTGTGTCTCCAGTGTTGTCCCCGTAGCGCTACGGGTCAGTGAGGGACATCGCTCGCATCTTTTCTTTTGTCCCTCACTGAATTCAAGAAGCTCCATTTAAATAAATTTGTATTTTTTCAAATAGAAGGTCAGTAAGTTTGAATGCGGTTATAACCCACTGGTTTATGCATATTGTAGCATGGAATAAATGCCATGTTAAATATTGAATGGATTTCTTTTTTTAAAAAGGAAAATATGGATATGTATTCAAGAGTGAAGAGGAGAAGAAAATCACTGAGAAGAAATAGCTATGGGATACAGAATCATCACGAAGTTTCTACTGAAGGTGAAGAAGAAGGTTTGTAAAAAACACTTTATGAAATAAATACTAGGTTCATGAGAGAAAGGAGAAATATAAATAATACATGTGTGATATTGCTAGATGGGGGATTTTTAGCTTTTGTCGTCTACATTGTATAATCTGAAATCATTGCTTGTACATCAAACATTGTTACATAGTGTATCTTATATGTAGCCATTAGTGGTACTTAAGTAACCCATTTTGGTGTGGTATTTGCTATGGGTAAATTTGCTTGTTAGTAAGGTTTTATTTGTATTTAGGCATCTTTTAATTGGAAGATTGTTTTGGTATTCATAGCCTCTAAATATCTGATTACTTTTATACCAGGCTTATTTATGGACTCCAATGTAAATGATGAAATTTAGAAATAGGGATTACTGATTCTAGTGGAGGGGTAGGGGTTATACTGTTTTCTTCTAAGTCCTCCAGTTTCTCAGCTTAAGAAACCAGATTGACGTTGTAGGGCTACAATGGGGCATAAGGGAAGTACATTGGTCCTGACGATTATAAACAGATGATCAGTACACCTAAAGGATTTTCTTTTGTAGGCATGCATGGGTTTTCAGAATATTTGGTGTATTTTTTAAACTCACGGATTCCCCCCCCCCCCCAGGAAATTTTACTAGTTCTTACTATTTGTGTAGGTTAGATGGGGGACGAATAGGGTTATTTCTTAGGTTCTGTATTTGTTATATTATTAGCAAGTTTTGAAAGAGCTGGCATTTCGAATGAAAGTATTTTATTGCGAAAATGTTGTTACAACTAGAACCTCTATATTGCTTCCTTTGGACAAAATCTGTATAGGTGAGATAGCTTTATAATGCGATTTTTACATTTTCATTAACAGAACATCTTTGTAATTTTCAAAGTAGATATTCCATGTAAAGAATTTTCTCACATCATAAATAGTGTGCTACTGTGAAATCTTTCTAAAAAAACTAATTTCTGAAGGTTTAAGAAAACTTAAGCAATGTACTTGATACAATTGATGCATGGATTTTTTTTTGTTGCATGGATTGTTATAAGAGCTATAAGAGCCCCCAATGAAATGATTTATGAAAATTACAAAAAAAAAAACCCAAGCCTTTTTGAGTCAAATAATCTATGGTATTATTTGAATCAATAATATATTTGTCTTTTTATACAACACAATGATAATTTTTTTAACTTAGAATAGGCATTCAGATGTAATAAGTAAAACATAAAATCCTTTGCTTGCATTATTTAGCCTTTTGCTTCTCTGAACATCACTGGGAGTCTAAAATTTTTTCCCTATGCCTTAATGTAATGATGGTGTTACTTCAATAATTCTTGTGATGAAAAGTTAATCATAAAATAGGAGGATGAGTCAAACTATTGCTGCTAGGGTTCCAGTTCGTGCATGTTTTGATTTATTTCAAACAAAATGTATAAACAGGTCTCTGCTATTAGTGGATGTCGACAAACAAGTTCTCTTGAGAATATACTTCTTGCATTTTTGTTTGGGTGGGTACTTTCAGAACAAGGTCCATTAACCTGCACCCAATTCACAGTAAAGGGTTTAAACAAAGGTCCAATGACATCATTGGCTTTGGAGGAAATCTACTGGGCCAGTTAAAGTCAAGGCAGCGAGGTCAGCTCAGAAGATTATGGTGACTGTTTCTTTGAGACTGCTAGCGGTTGTCCTGATAAATCTTTCTGAAGATATAGAATGATCATAGGGCCCTTTGAAGTTTTAAGAAAATTGAAAACTGCATTGAGGAGAAAAGGCTAGGAAGGTTGAGTGGAGGAACTTTTCCCCATCACAGCAATGCACCTGCTCCTTCTTTGACGATCGCAAAGGCTGGCCTACAAGAATTCCCTTGAAACTGATGACCTACCATTTAAATGTTCACCCAGTTCATAGTAAAAAGTGAAATAAAAAAAATTAAAAAAAGAATTCCCATGAAAAACCGTATTCCATTACTTATACAGCCCTACTTTTGCCCCATCAGACTTTCTTTTTTAATTGTCAAACTCAACATTTAAAAGTAACACTATTTGAGTTCCTGGGGGATGCCAAAGCCTATTATTCTCATGTGTTATAAATTGAAGGGCACAGAATTTCATGGGAAGGGTTAGACGGAAGCATCACCCTTAAAAGAATATAGAACTAGCTGTAGGATATGTTGAGGAACAATTGCTTTGTAGTTTAGAGTTTTTGTTGAATAAAAATTTCTATAATTTGTAGCAATACTTTTTGACATACCTTCACATAGCATTTGGGAACCATATGCCTACACATTTTCATCAAGCTATTTTACTTTAACCTGTAAGTAGATATCAGATCATAGTAATAGTGAAACTACTTTTTAAATGATTAACTTTTTTAAAGTACCTAAATTCCAATGTGTACAGTTAAATGATCATTCATTTCAAGAAAAACTCTATTTATCAGTACCCTGGAAAGTCTGCTTCATGTACCCATCAATTTTTCTACCCAAATTTAACCTAATAATCTGTTTAACTTTTTTTGGTCACAGATCATTTTACTTATTACTCTTCCTGTAATATTAGTAATGACTTTGTAAGCATAATTTTTGAACTACCAATGGGTATTTGATTAGGACCCCATTCAGTGATTAGCTAGGCATTAGTTGAAGTTTGCTGTAGTGGGAAAAATTTTGAAGTTAGTACTATTTATAACCAAGGAAATGGAAAGATCATAAGTATATCAAGTGATCAAATATGACCACATTAAACCTTTTTTATTATTTACCAGTGGTCTGTATTGATGATTATCGGGAAAAGGATAGCTTTTTAAAAATTTAGGTTAATTATTAACTATATTGATTTATATTGTATCTAAAATACTGACACTATAAAAAGTCATCTGTGAAAAAAGGGTAAAATATGAAATGTAAATATTTGCTTATAGAGTGACACACTGGTGGATAAAAACAAACCTTTTCTCTTGTGTGTGGGGAAACTAGAATCTCAGGAGGAAGATGGAGATATAGAAGTTGAAGAGGCAGAAGAAGAAAACGATAGACCTTATAATTTGAGACAAAGGAAAACAGTGGACCGGTACCAAGCACCTCCCATAGGTAAGAAATGAAATGACTTCTTCCCTTATTGTAGTTGAATAGCTTATTCTTCTGCACTCTTAAAAAAATATATTGCTTAATTTAGAGGAAGGAAGCCTGGAAAGTTTCTTGGTAGATTCTTCTACATGTACTGCTCACACATTCAACTGAAAGAGGGTTAAAATGCAGAGTAATGTCTGGTAATTGGCAATGTAAGACTACCACATATTTTCTACTTTAATGTTTTCTTTGCTTTTTGTGACATGTCTTAATTCTGCAGACTGGTTTTGTCTTAGTGAGTGAGCACTATTGAAAATTGTTCCTTGTGTCTAGCCTTTATTGTTTTTTTAATAGGGTTCAGTCACTTAAATTTTTTCATCTGTATTAAGTGAACATTCAATGTGTTTTAGTCTAAAAAGCTTTCCTAAATATGTTTATTTTCTTTATCTCAAGAGTATTTTAAATTCTATCCCATCGGCTAGATTAATGATCCTATTATTTGTATTACCAAAGGTCCTATCTTATTACCAAAGGTCCAATGGAGGTTACCTAGACTATCTCTTAAGCTGACAATGCTGCCACTAAAGTAGACCAGGGTGTATATATATCTTAGATATATGAATGGATTTTGAGCCCACACTTAATTGTAAGCCCTGATCTAAGGATAATTAGTTCTTATGAAGTGGCCCTGCTCAATATTTACTCTCATGAAGGGATCACTGAATATATGGGTGCTGTAGCAAAGTGTGGTGAAGAAATCAAATGGCATTTGGTTATCAGAAAGAAAAGCACCTGGAGTCCTAAAGGCTTATTGTAAAACAAGCAGCCACCTACGTGAGGTGTTAGCCACGTCCACAGGGAAGGAGTACCCCAGCCTCTGTGATGCAAGGACTAAATGATAAAATCCATGACCAGAGGAGACAATTATATTAGAGCTTAAATTCTTTTTAAAAAAAATCATTTTATTGGGGGCTCATACAACTCTTATCACAATCCATACATACATCAATTGTATAAAGCATATTTGTACATTCGTTACCCTCATTCTCAAAACATTTACTCTCCACTTAAGCCCCTGGCATCAGCTCCTCATTTTTTCCCTCTCCCTCCACGCTCCCCCTTCCCTCATGAACCTTTGATAATTTATAAATGTATTGTTTGGTCATATCTTCCACTGTCGAACGTCTCCCTTCACCCATTTTTCAGTTGTCCGTCCCCCAGGGAGGAGGTTATATGTAGATCCTTATAATCGGTTCCCCCTCTCTACCCCACTCTCTTTCCACCCTCCTGGTATTGCCACTCTCACCACTGGTCCTGAAGGGATCATCCGCCCTGGATTCCCTGTGTTTCCAGTTCCTATCTGTACCCGTGTACATCCTCTGGTCTAGCCAGATTTGTAAGGTAGAATTGGGATCATGATAGTGGGTGGGGAGGAAGCATTTAGGACCCAGAGGAAAGTTGTATGTTTCATTGTTGCTACATTGTACCCTGACTGGCTCGTCTCATCCCCACAACCCTTCTGTAAGGGGATGTCCAGTTGCCTACACATGGGCTTTGGGTCCCTACTGAGCTTAAATTCTGAGCACCATGTTCTAGAAAGTTATGGATGACATTAAACGCCTCAAATCTATTTGCAGAGCACCCACCAGGGTTAAGCCTCTATTGGATTCCATCTGAACATCAACTGGTGTTGCGAATAGTCTTCTTTTGAGTGCATTGGAAAGGGCATTAACTCTATCTGCCTGACCAGCCCAGAGAGAGGCAGTCTCCTATGGGAGCTTGCCTGGGTGTGGGTTTGAGGGAGATCACTGTATGGAGGGTGGGTTTGGGTGGGTGGGTGTTGCATTGTCATGAATTATGTCCTGGTTGTCTTGGTGGTGGGGTGGGAGGGGTCTGCACCAATCTTGTAAGCTGGTCTGTCTGTCAAAACATATATCTCAATCAAGGCCTCTCGTTCCCACTCTGGTAAACCTATCTTCCACCAACTATGCATTTGTGACAATTTTACTTGACCTTTCATCTAATGTTCTTTTTTTTGGTTAGGTATACCTTAGTCATCAAAGCGATGTCTTTGCTTTTAATTTTTATTTAAAATTTTTATTAGCATATATCTCATAACCCTATCACTTAATCATTTAGTCATATTAAGACGATTGGTATAATCATCACTACAATCAATTTTAGAACATTTTCTTATATTCATTATAGTTAACTCCCCATTTCTTTAAAAAAAAATCATTTTATTGGGCACTCGTACAACTCTTATCACAATCTGTCCGTACACCCATTGTGTCAAGCACATTTGTACTTTCATTGCCCTCATTATTCTCAGCTCCCCATTTCTTCCCATCCTCCCCTGCCATGGTCCTAGGCAATTATCAGTCCACTTACTGCCTCTAGATCCACCTATCCTGGATTTCATATACAGAAAGCCATACAGAACACAAATAGGAACCAACCAAACAAACAAAAACCCCAACAACATTGACTAGACAAAACAGGAAAATCTCAAACAAAAAGAAATCGCAAAACATTAAAAACTGAAACAACTTTAAAATGGAACAAAAGGGAGATCAAATGATAGGTATTACATTTTAACATAACTGCATCTGCCAAAATTGACACTTTATAGTGTTTTCTGTCTGATTGCAAGGCTATCCACACCCCTCCACTATGGTCAGAGGGGGGATTCAACAGAGGCTCAATAATTTTTTTTTTGTTAAGAGGCTTAATTCTTTTTTTTAAACATTTTATTAGGGGCTCGTACAACTGTTATCGCAATCCATACACACACCAATTGGGTAAAGCACATTTGTACATCATTCTCAAAACATTTTCTCTCCACTTA